CGAGGCTACAGTAAATATCAATTGGATAACATCAAACGTGATCACGGTGGAATAAGTACGATCCACCATCGTTGCAATGTACAAAGGTTGAGCCAGTAAACCAACACCAAGATCAGAAACAACAAGACTCAGGAGCAATGTTTTTAAAGGCTTTGGTAACGACGAAGCTTTTCTTATCGCGTGGATTGTTAAAGTGTTCAACATGATGGCGGTGTAGGCTGAGAAAGCATTGAACACATAGTTAACGATGTACGATGAGTAGAGTGGGTCGGTTTCATTCATTATACAGCTTGAACTTTGAAAAAAAAGCCCTGAGTGATGGTACGTACAGTGAAGTTGTACCGTGGGCTGAGTGATCTTATGATTAAAAGATATAGACAGCCGGTTGGTTTAAGTGCTTTATTACTTATTCCCATCTAGGACAGATGAACACGTATACCAGATGATTTTTTGACATTTTTGTTTGAATTAATGACTAACTTTCCTTTGGCGCGTCACTTTTGCCAGAGAAACGGAAATACCTAGAAAATAGAGCTTAGTTTCAGTTTTCAGTTTTTTATTATTGAACACTATCTAATGGTAATCTAAGGTACGTTTTAGACGTTCATATGCCAAAATTGACATTCTAATTTTGCANAACTTAGTTTCAGTTTTCAGTTTTTTATTATTGAACACTATCTAATGGTAATCTAAGGTACGTTTTAGACGTTCATATGCCAAAATTGACATTCTAATTTTGCATTTTACATCAAAATGTTAGTTCAAAAAAAGGTGTTAATCTTGAATTTGAATTTGAATAGAATATAGAAAAATTGAAAAAAAAGTTGAATTTCAATTTGAATTTGGATAACACAGAAAGGTGGGATTTGTACTCCATTTAGTTTTCGAAATGGCCATAGTAAGTTGTGTAAATTACAGTTAAAACTAATACATATGTTATTTAAAACTGAAGACGATCTGTTTTGTTAACAGAAAAAAAACTTAAAAGAAAACAGATGGCTTATCCTAAGCAAGCATTGTTTCTTTTTATGGCTCAGATAGTGTCTTGCTCCGCAAAAGACTTGGCACCTTTATTTCAAATAAACACAAAAAACAACGATCTTTTAAGAAACACGTTTTAAAAAACTTTTGATCCTCTTTGTCCACTGTTCAAAGTCCTAACTTTTAGGATGATATAAAGTAACTGTTTTTGCTAATTAGCTTTCACTTGATATGTTTTTAGTGATAGCCTCAGCTGTCCTGGACCTCCTGTCCCGGTTTGCCTGAAAACCAGTTAGCTCCTTTGAATCGAGATTTAATAATATATCGAAGGACGCAAGACTGTGTTTGACCACATTTCCAAACACCGAAAAGAGAGTTGAAAAAACGACGCGCAGCGGAGTATTTTTGACAAACTTCGAGGTGTTAGAAATTTGGTTTAATGCTGCCTTAAGTGTTTGATATAGCTTCTCAATCGAAATTAAATCTAAGTAGAAAACGGAGAAATAAAATT